ATTATCATTTGTAATAGATTTTAATAGTACTAGTAAAAGAAATTGAAAAACTATATGTAAAATAATATGAAAAAAATTATAAGTAATATCAAAATATTTTCATATATAAATATACTTTCTTTAAAATTAATATTTTCAATAATTAATATATTTCAATATTTTCTCTTTGAAGTAATCATTTAATTGGTTTTGTTTCATTTATTCTAATTTTTTCTTTTTTTCTTTCATAAAATAGTGTATATGATATTACATTGCTGTATATAGAATAGCATATAAAGATGTTATTAATTTTAGTTTCTGCAAAAAGAGTTCATAATATTTGTAAACTAAATATTAATACTAGGAAATACAATAGTTAAGATTATTGAAGTAAGAAATGCAGATTTTTTTTTTGTTAATAATTTATCCAAAGGTTTTATTTCAAGATTTCTTTATTTTTTCTTTTGTTTAATATATCAAGTTTTTTTTTTTTAAGTAATAATAAATTTATCAAAAAAATTTATGAATATAGATGAAAAACTTTGTCAAAAATGTTCAAATGAATTAGGATTTTCAAGTTCTTATTATTTTCATCTTTTAATTTTATTATTATAGTTTCTAATACTTTTCCAATTACTGTTGATATTTCTGATATAAAATTATAATATTTATTTACTAGTTTTGTAATATTAATTTTTTTAAGATATAAAGCTGTTTTTACAAGAAATAAACTTGAAGATTTTGTTGTATTTATTGATCAGAAAAATTTTGTGTTTTTGGTGTAGATTTATCAAATATTATTAAAATTAAATCTAATTATTTTAATAATTCTTCTTTTTGTTCATTTTCTTTTGATACTACTACATTTAAAATCTATTATCCAAAATGTTTAAATGCTTTTATTATATCTTCTTTATATTTTTTCTTATATAAAAATATTGCTTTTCTTTCACTACCTTATCATTCAAAAAAATATACATCTTGTAAATTAAAGCATTATGAATAAATATAATATAAAATAATATTTATTATTTGATTTATTGATAATAGTATTTTGTATATTTTTAACATTTTTAAAAATTTAACAAATTTTAAGTCCAATATATAGTTCTTAATATTTTGTCTAACTATGCATACTGAAAATTCTATACATTATTACTTAACTAAAAAAAATATTTATATTTATTGCAAAATAAATAGCAATGATTATAAATTATACTTTTTTTAATAGATCTTTGTTGTTTTATATTTAGCATATGAAGGTAATTTTGATTAAAATTAAAATGAGTTGTATAAACTCCTAATGTATTTAATTTATTTTCTGCTTTCATATTTATAAATATATTTTTATCAATTTTCTATATTCCTATAAGTTGTGCTAAGAGATGTTAATGTGTTGTTATTTTAGAATTACATTATATTTTATCATCAATTATATCTATAATAATATAAGGTGTTAAAATTAATAATTCAAAAATGTTTTTAATTTGATAATTAATATCTTCTTCAGTAAATTTTATAATAACTGATTCTGTTTCAAAATTTTCTTCAAAATTAGTATCTTTTTAATTAATTTCATCATCATTTATTTTCAATAAATCTTAAACATTAAAAGCTATTCATTTTAAATAAATAGTAAAATTTCAGTATCATAATTGATACTTTTTGTGATAAAACTACTAATAGTAGCAGTAAAACTTAAATTATCATTATTTAAAGATAATATATCTTCATTTTCACTTATATTAAATTCAAAATCATTTTTATTTATTAAAATATTTTTCAAATAATATTAGTTTCTATAAAATAAAATTAATAATAAAATTAATATTAATATTAATAATAATAATAATAAAAATATCAATTGTAATATATTGATATATTTAATTATAAAATAATTAATTATTTTCTTTACCTTGTAAAAAAGACATTTTAATTATAAAATTTTTTGATAAATAATTTTTTAAAAAAAAGGAAAAAAAAAATCAAAGATTGAAAATAAATATTTGAATATTATTATCTTGTGATCTATCAGTTTAAAATTAATAATATTTATATTATTATATCTATTATAAAAAGAACTTCATAATGGCATATGTTTCATTCAAAATAGATATTAAATATTAAAATAAAGAGAGTTTTAAAGTTTTCTTTTTATTATTTTAATTTAGCAATTATTATTATTGTTATCTTTATTGAAATAATAGTTTTTTAATTAATTTAATTAATAAAATAACTTTAATTAAAATTTATTAAAGAATTATAATGATAATTTTTTAATTACTTAATTTAAAAATAGTATTATTATTTTAATTTTAATCTAATCAAAATTAATAGAATGACTTTAGTTAGAATTTATTAAAGAATTTATAATGATAATTTTCTAATTATTTAATTAAAAAATAGTATCATTATTTTTAATTTTAATTTAATCAAAATAAATAGAATGACTTTAGTTAGAATTTATTAAAGAATCATAATGATAATTTTCTAATTATTTAATTAAAAAATAGTATTATTATTTTAATTTTAATTTAATCAAAATTCATAGAATGACTTTAGTTAGAATTTATTAAAAAATTATAATAATAATTTTCTAATTATTTAATTAATAAATAGTATTATTATTTTAATTTTAATTAATCAAAATTAATAGAATAGCTTTAGTTAGAATTTATTAAAGAATTATAATAATAACAATAATTTTCTATTTATTTAATTTAAAAAATAATATCAATACTATTTTAGTCAAGAATGATAAAATTACTTTATTGGATTTACTTATAACGGAATTAAATTTAGTATTACTATTACTATATTATATAAAAAATATCTCACTTTCTTACTTTTATCTAAAGATTCTTTAAAGCTATTATTATTATTGTAAAAATAAATAAAATTTTAAAAAGAATAGAACTTGATATATATAATATATTAAAATTATAAGAAGTTATATTATCAGAATATATTATTAGCATAGAAGTAAAAGTAATATTTGTGATATTTTTATATAAAAATTGATGAAATGCATCATGACGATCTCTAATTAATAGCAATAGAATTATGTAACACAAAAAAATTTAGCATTTTTGTAATATTTCTACTAAAACATATTATAAAACTTTAATAATTAAGAGTTATATATAAATTATTTAGCTTTATAACTTTAATTAATAAGAAAAAATAGATTTAGAATACTAACTTTAACATTTATATGAAGTAATTTCCTAAAATAGAAATTAATGATTATTTTTAGTGAAAATATATTAGTTTTACTATTACCATTATTATTAAATAATATAAATAAGTAGTTTATTTTAATATTAATTTATATTATAATTTAAAAATTAATATAAAAATTTAAAAAAATCAAAAATATTTTTTTATAAAAAAAATCTTAAAAAATACTTTTTATATTTCTAAATAAGGATTTTTTAAAATTTTAATATAAATATGATTCCTTCAAAGAATATAAAAAAATTTATTATGTATCATTACATGATTATAATATATGAAATATTATGATATTACTTTATGGAAATCTGAATTATCTTTCTCATGAAAAGAAATCACTAATAACTCTAATAATTCTTATTATATTATACTAACAAAATTAGAACTTCTTTCAAGTAAAAAAAAAGAATATATAAATAAAATTAAAATATTTAAAGAAGGAATAAAATATTATACTAGATTTTATGAAAAACGAAAGTTACATTTAAATAGAAAACTTTATATAATATATATATTAAAATTATCAGAATTAGAGAAAGAAATTAAGGTAGTATTTGAAAAAGAATTTAAGTTGATATAAATTTTAATGTCTTTAATGATAAATAATTATTATTATTATAGTTTTTTATTTTTATTATCATTATTTCTTTTTTTTTTTAATGTTATTATAATTTTTTTATTATTTTTATTATAATTATATTTTTTATTTTATTTTTATTATCATTATATCTTTTTTTATTCTTTTTATAAATAAATAAAAAATTTTTAATTATTAAAATATAATAAATTTATTAATCAATTATAAAGATGATAAATATTTAATTTATTTAATATTAATATAAAGAATGACAAAATTATTTTATTAGATTTACTTATAATAATATCAAATTTAGCTATGTTATACAAAAAATTATCTCACTTTTTCACTTCTATCTGAAGATTCTTTAAAAGTATTATTATTATTGTAAAAATAGATAAAATTTTAAATAGAATAAAACTTGATATATATAATATATTAAAATTATAAGAAGTTATATTGTAAGAATATAATGTTAGTATAGAAGTAAAATAATAGTTATGATATTTTCATATAAAATTAATAATATGCATTATAACGATCTCTAATTCTTGATATTTTAGTATTTTAACAATATTTCTATCAAAACATATATCAGTAAGTTAAAAGGACATAGATCAATACACTGTAAAATTAAACACACTAATCATTATAATGATTATCACCATTTAAACATCAAAGCAATATACTGATCACTTAATACTATAATCATTACCATTTAAAGAATTAAGCAATGCGTTACATAAAAATCATAAATTTAATGATTCTTTTAAACTCTTTCAGAATATTAAAATATAATTTTATTAATATCGATGACAATGCTAAACTAAAGTTCAAGAGTTATATAAAAAATTATAATTAAAGATAATACATTTTACAATTATTTTAATATAAACTATTTAAAAAATAAATAAGTTGATAAAATATTCATTAGTCTTGTTAAAACGTGAAATAACATGAACTGGTTCAATAATAGAATCGACAACTATAACAGTAAATATCAAAATACTTTTCATGTGTAAGCAATCATATTTAAATAGTTTGTATAAATTATTATATTTAAATTTATATCATTGAACCAATACCAACTCTTGTTCTTTATGACTGGGTATCTTTAAACTGAACAATATTAAGAGCTGAAATCAATATGATATTTAAAGATTTATAAATATTGAATTTTTTTAAAAAATACAAATTCAATAATACTAATTTACCTTAGTAAATATGTTTCATTGACTGTGTTATAACTTTCAACTTCTTCCTCATTCATATTAACTGTCACATTGCTAAAATCAGATACATTATAATAATTGCTTTTAGCCTGTACAATGCCAGTTTCTTCAACTGTTGCATGAGTATACCATTTAAAAGTTAATTCAACATCTTCATTGGTAATATCTTCAATAAGATCGAAATACTGATTTAACGAATCGATAAATACATCAAAGCTTTCTTAACTTCTGACACTAATTGATATGTGATCTTATATTCATTAACAAATTTGTTAAATTTTGACAATATGAAACTGTCTTCAATACTGCTTAATGTTGAAGCTTGTTAACAATATTTTTCAAAAGAATGTGAAGTTATTATTTTACGAAGATAATCAAGGATGCTATTATGTCGTATCTAACAATTATTAAATAAAATTAATATTAATTAAATAATTATTGCATGAATAAAAACTAGAAAACTATAGTGTAAAATATCCAATTTTCGGTTGTTGGTCAGGTTGTTTCTGTCATGGTTACTATTGTTAATTCAAAGAATTTTCAATATAATTTATTTCACTTTGTATATTAAAATCATCATAGTATTCATCACCTACAAAAATAAAAATATTAGTTTTAAAAATAAATATATAAAAGTTGTTTGGTAAAAAGACTTTTTTAAGAATTTTTAAATTACAGTAGCGGTCATAAGTATCTGACCGCCTCTAACTCCGGCTACAAGTAAGTAAATTCAAAAATTTTTTTTTTATT